TATATATAGAGATATATATATAGAGATATATATAATTTTAGTATGAATTTTTATTAATCTGACAGATTTTATATATAAACTTTAAACATTATTAGTGGATACTCATATTTGAATAGGTGCTCCATTTATTACACAGTATATTTATTTATTTTCACCTACTGGCCTGAATGTTCAAGAGATCTTATTAAAGTCAATATCTTTTTTAATATGTAAATGGAGTGTCGGTTGATATATTAGTTTAAAGTGATAAATCTATTGGACTAATAAATATCCATTCTAAAATATTCTCTTTATTTACATTTGGATACCAAACTGTGTAGATATGAAAAACTTTGAGAAATTATGGTCAAGCAGTAAGATGCACCAATTAAAGAGGACAAAGGTTCGATTTATGCTAAAGAGTGCAATATTTTTCTTTAATAAGATTTCTCAAACATTCAGGCTGGTAGGTGAAAATAAATATATATACTGTTTAATATATAAACAGAGCACTTACAGAAATATGAGTACCCGCTAATAGTGTTTAAAGTGATATATATATATATATATATATATATATGTTAAAATGTAAATGTTTTTTAAGATTGATTTTGTATGTTTAATAAAAAATCGACTCCACAAGACATAATGTAGCTACTTTTTTAAAACTTTTTTTTTTTTAAATATGTATTGTTAGTTTGGTATTCAAAATACCTGATGAATTAAAAAAAAAAAAGTTCAGTAGGCCCAAACAATCAATGTAGGTCCCTACCAAATGTTTACTTCTTGGTTCAATAATCTTTCTATTTTACGCAAATGATATGCCTAAGAGTATACTCAGATCTTTTAAGAATATCTATGCTGATGATACAATGGTATGACTGCACCTCCAAAATTCTAGATGACCAGAGCTTGACAGCTGATCTCTTCTCTGATCTAGCTCTAACAGATCAGGGGGGGCGAACTGGCTGATCACATTTAATGCCTCAAAAACCAAACTAATTCCATCATTAATGAGCGAGCCTTAAATTTTTGCATATCACAATGAACGTATGTGCCTTGAACACCTATTGGGACATATTTCAACCCAGACCTCAACTAGAACTTTTACATATGATCCATTTTTAAAGGTGCTTGAAAAATTGTCAGTTCCTTGTACCCCTTCAGTAAGTACCTGACTCCTCCTACTATGTACTATCTTTACAAAATAGTCTACTGCTGTCATATATGGCAAGGAGCTGACCAGTTTTTACTTTTCAGCCTGAATAGTCCAAAAACATCTCTGTATCCTTGTGGGTGATGAATTATTTTCACCATACAGTTGAAATGTTACAAGCTGCTCCTACTTTATTGCTATTCCCATAGAAAGTGTTCTGACAAACTGCCTTCCTTAGTTCCACCAGTTTGAATGTTCACAGTTAAGACCAGCCATGTCATACACATTGTCGTGAACCACCCTTATTCACTTTGTATTCCATTGGTGAGATGTCAATTCCATTTGAGCAGCTTCCCATAAACCACTGCTTTATTCAATCAACTCCTAAGAGGATGCCACCCTGATCACTACAGTCTTAATCTATTCAAGTCTAGGGTTAACTGTTATCTTCCCTACATATCCCCATTAACTGTCACTTTTACTCTGCAACCCTCTAACCCTTGTACAGAGTGAACATTATTGTAACAAAAAAAAACCCCACTTTTCTGAAAATAATTCAGTCATTTTACAAATACAGTAGTCCTCTTTATCCATATATGTTACAAAACCCCTTCTCTCCAATAGGTGTTCAAAACAATGGGTAGTAATAAAACTTGTATAGTATTTTTCCTAAACGTACATAAACTTATGTTAGTTACAATAAGAGATTAACAACAATATCTTTTCATAAAATCAAACAATTATAGCAATACGTTAAAATGAAAATTATGTCACAGCTGGAAGATTATTTCTTACTATAGCAATATCATTTTTTTTTCTCTTAAGAGCTTTTGTGCTTTGAGAGTATTATATAGAGTAAACTTTTTTTTCTGGGGTTGACTTGTGGGTACTAAGACTATGGAAAACAACATTGCAGATAAGGGCAACCACTGTATGATTACACTAAACAAACATGCACACAGTTTTGTATGAGATTCCATACAAGAAAAATATCAGCTTTCAGTAATACAGCCATAACATTAGACACAGTGCTCATAACAGAAAAATAATAAATAACAGAATTTATTTGACTTTGTTTTATTTGATTCTTTGGTTTTCTTTGATTTTGATTCACACTTGCAAAACTGAAATCATGTTTTATTGATCACCTTTTTTAAACTCTAAACAACAGTCTGTAGTGTTGTTGTGGCTGTTCAGTGTTAAAATAATCACAAGTTGTTTTTAAAACTAACAAATAAAAATAAAAAATAAAGAGTTCAATGATATTTTTTCTTTTTTAATCTTGCTATTCAGTGGTGCATGTATGCTTTTGAAATCCTAGAGACATGTCAGTCCTGAAAAGGGGATAAAAAAAAATATTGCATTTCAAGCACTGAGAAAAACTGAATAAAAGAAAAGAGAAAAAAACTGAATGAAAACTGAAAGAACAAAAGTTGAAAGAGGAAAAAAGTGAAGGAAAAACAAAGAAAGACTAAAGAAATATAAGTCTAGAAAAGGGGATAAAATAAAATATTGCATTACAAGCACTGAGAACAATTGAATGCAAGAAAGAAAAACTGGAATTAGAAATATCTGAATGAAAAAAAAATTGATTGAAGGAAACTAAAGGAAAAAAATACAAAAAATTGAAAGAAATAGAATGAAAAATTGAATGAAGGAAAGAAAATCTGAATGAAAAAGATAGAGAAATGAAGATTTATAGAAAGAATGAGTTGGGACGGGGTTTTTATCCAATTTTTTTTCACTTGGACATAAACATTGAAGTAGGAAAAAAATTTGTTCTTGCATTTTAATAAATCACATTTTAACAACAAAAAAACACAATTTCAAATGCCCTCCCCCAAATTGCAAACAAAATGAATTGATATTTAAATTTAGTGTAGTTTATGTTTACCTGATATGTACAACTATATACATGAATATACTCTCATTTTTTTTTTTTTTGTTTTGTTTTTTAAATTTTTTTCAAATGATTTTTTTTAAGTATGTGTGAATTCTTGGTTGTTTGAAAAAAAATGGTTTTGTGATAATTGATATCACCTTAATGGCAAAGTAAGTTATTGCCTGGACTGAATTTAAAAATTTTGAATTTGTTTAATTTTTGGCAAAATATTTTTTTTCTTTTTTTTTTTTATTGCTGTAAAGTCCATGAAAATTATGCCTTTTTTTTTTTTTTCTTTACCTTAAAAAATTGTTCAGTTATACAACTGCTTTCAGTATACAAATTACACAAATACTCTTGAAAGAGTATCAAACATTGGTTTGATTCTGTGATTGATATTGTGTTCATATCTCCATCTTAGAAAGATTTTTTTTTTTTTTTTTGTCAAAGCAGCTTGTCTTAAGCCCAGAAGAATGAAGAGGATGGAGTCTGGGACTTCTGTGTTTCTTTTTTAAAACAAAACAAAAAAAAAAACGTCAAAAAAGCAAATTATATATCAAATGACAAAATTGTTCTTTTTCTGTTTTTTTTTCTCTTCCTTCGAGAAAGAAGGAAAATGGATATATTTTCAGTTTTTATTTTTAAGAATTGTTCTGTTAGATTTCAAGGTCAATTTGGATTGTCCAGTAATTCAGAGCAAAAAAATTTTTTTTTAATTTTTAAAAAAAATTTTTTTTATTGTCTGGTATAGGATATGAGATTAAATATAAATCATTCGAGACATTTCTACTGTAGATTATTTTAAATTCCTCTCACTAAAAGAAGGAAATAGTTTAAATAATTAGAATCCTTTTGGTTGTTTTTTTTTTTTTTTTCCCTCAAATCCAGCATAACTTCTATTAAATTTCTTCCACATTCATTTTGCAACAAAATAGCAAAATTCTTTAGAAATGCTTTCCCTTCTTTGGGAAAGTTTTCTTTTCAAAATAAAAAAAATTGTGGAAAAAAAATTTGGCAATAGATGCAGTCTGTTTGAACCAATCTTTCTTTATATTTCGGGTGAAAAAAAAAAAAAAGATTTTTCTTCTTCGCTACTCAAAGCTGTCATTCCGTTTACTAAGTGTACGTAACTGCATTTCCTGTGGCTCGGGAAGATGTTGATGATGTTGATGGACTGACCACCATGGACGCATATTCAAGCAGGGCCTGAAAAAAAAAAAAACAACTATTAAAAAAAAAAAAAAAAGGTGGTGGTGATAAGTCATTTTTTTCTTTTTTTTCAGTGTATTTTCTACATTGTCACATGCACAAACTAAAAGGATTATTTGCAGCTATGTCCCTTTTAAATAAGGATATTTAATTATAATTCTGATTGTTCCTCTGTTAACTAGCATGTGTGTTATGCCCTGCCTTTATCACAGACAATGGGCCATGCCATTGTGATTACAAGGAAAGAGATGAAAAAGATATATTAGAGGTGTTTGGTTTTAGTAAGAAAAATAAAATATATATAAGGGAAGATAGAGGAGATAACACACTCTTATATTTAATGTCTGCTTCAGTGAAATGGAAAACCTTGTCAATTTTAAATCTTTTCATTTGTACCCTCTTACTTCTTTAAATAATAACCAGCATTCATACTCTAGATTGTTATTCCAACATTTTGCTAAATTGTTAAACTCAAATATTTAAAAATGCAATAGAGGAATTTTCACTGGTATCTTATAGTTGTAGAATTTGCAGGAAGCATTTTCAATCATTAACTTAAGAATTATGATTCATCTGAAATACAGGAATGTTAGTATATATGACATTTGTGTATATGCAATGCCTAAAAACCATACCACAAGTTGATCCAAGTCTAGTGAGTGAAATTTAGTAGAGAGAACTCTTTGAGGTCTGTCAATGGTTGTGCTAACATGAAGTCTGTTGTAATGGAATAACCTGTCACACTCATGAGTGACTACACTATAGGTAGTAACTACCTGTAAGTATCTGTAAGTCAACGGACTTACAGATACTTATAGATACTTACAAAGGCTGATCCCCTTGCAGAAGTCTGGTTCAAATTTGGCGGCCTGCAGGACAGCCACCAGGTACTGATGATTGACCCTATCAAATACCTTGGACTGATTTAAATTGATCAGCACTGCTTTCTCATCATCTTCTACACTCTCTTTGATTGTGCGGACCAGATGCAGGTTGCTTTGAATTGCCTGTCCCCTCACAGCACAAGTCTGCTTGGGTCTCAAAAAGCTTGTGACAACTGACTGCAAATGCCCCATCAGGATCCTGGCCAAAATCTTTAACTCTGTGTTTAGCAGAGTTATAGACCTATAATCATCTAATTCCCACCCTACACCTTTGCCCTTTTATTCAACAGTGAGATCACACCCCTAGAGATCCAAATGGAGATGAATCCCTACCGGAACCAGTTGATGAACAACATTGTCAAAATCGGAACAAAGATGTGCAACAATTCATAGGGCAGACCATCAAGTCCCAGAGACTTGCCACTGCCAACCCTCTTCAATGCTAAGTGAACTTCAGCCTCTGTGATCTCACCCTTGCAGCTAGCCGCTTCAGTCGCCAAATGTCAAGTAAAGTCAATGAAATAGTTGTGAAACATGTCACCACTGACACCATGCTCCTTGGTAAAACTGCTCTTGAAATGCTGCCAAAATGTCTCAAATATGCCCTTGGTTAACCTCAGTTTGCCTCTCTGGGATATTGACCTTGTATCGATTGAAACCTCAACAGATCTTGCACAACTCTGCACCCATATTCACAGCTTTATTAGACATCTCGTTTAACCTATGTCTAATTACCTGACCCTGATAGTGTGTACTAGTCTCATGCTCCAGAACCTGTCTAATTAGTGCTATCTCTAGGGAATCCCCTTCCAGCCTCCTTCTGGGACAGACTATCCTCTACAGTTTTTACCATCTTAGCCCCATCTAAGGCAAGTTGTTGGCTATATTTGGTGGTAAAAGACCTAATGCTATCCTTAAGCCTCTCCCACCATTTATTCCCAATAGCTGCCTCCACTAGTTCCTGCTGTACTAATCTAGTCAGCTGTTGCTGGAAGTTCCACCTGTCCAGTAAAGATAGATTGGACTTCCAGTGTCCAGCCATTCTAGGTCTAGTGTCTAACACCATCTGGGCACTGATGAGTCTATGGTCTGAATAGCTTAAGTGGTGGGACAATCTAGCAAATCTAGATTGACTCTTTTAATTAACATTCTATCCAGGTAGCTGGCTAGTTTGAGAGACAGCTACTTAAGAGGCCACATCCTAGTCTTAGGCTCATCAACAGATACCAATGACCTCCAGCTACCTCCCTGTCCCCATCTTGTGGTCCAGGATGGCATTTCAGTTTACCATTAAGACTAAGCACAATGAGTTAAACAGGAATAGCCCCAGCTAATGGAAAAAGTTGACATGCTATGGTCGTAGGGCACATAAAGTGCAACAGCCCAAAATGAACTACTGTTCATGGTAATATTGGCCATGACCAACCGGCACCCGCTCATGTGTCAACATGAACAAGGGCCACTTTAGCACACGAAATGTTTACCTAATAAGGAAACACCTCTAACCAGGTAGATAGCATATGAGCATTGACATCACAAAGTATGTCTCCTGGATTGCAGCTACATCTATGCCAAAAGACAAGAGATCATAAAATGACAGGCAGCCTTACTCCAATCTCTCACATTCAAGCTGGCTAGCCTGATAGATATGATTTAAGCCTGGGTCCTTTAAACACAGACTGGGCAGAAATCTGCAGGTGTCAAGACCCCAACAGATTGTCCCAGGCTTCCAGTTCCGATGTCAGTTGTAATCCAACCGTCCTTGACAATACTGCTGTTGTCCATCAGGAAAGTGAGTTTCAATGCCCTATATAGTGAGGGATGGAAGCACATTTATAATTTCCTGAGTTCAGGAGACTCTATTTCAGCCATCCTAATTCCTGGAAATGTATCCTTCACCCCCACTAACTTAAGGCTTCCCCCAGTGTTCCTAATTAGGATAATCACGCTGGGGGCTTAGGGAAGTTTCTTGGATCCTCTGTTGCCCATCCCCAACTTATAAGCAGGAGCACACAAATGCATGCTGGGATTTCTTCCTAGCCAATAAAATAGGCTGGTTCTTGGTTTCATCTGACTCAATCGCTGTCTGTCTTGTCTTGATTCCCTTGTCTTTTCTTGTGTATCAATGCCAATTCTTAGTTTGTGAACTTTGACATATTAATGTTGCTTTGCCTTTGCTATATTGTTTCCTTATTTCAAATAAATTTTTTTTGCCTGTTCTTTTTATCTATTTTTCTTAAGAATTTCACTCCTAGGCATAACAGGAGTGCCACTAGCACACAGGGGGTTACAGAAAGTGAAAGGAAAGAGTGGGTGTAGGGGGATTGAGGAAAGGAAAAAAGGACAGGGATCAAGGTAACAGATCATGATTGATGCTGCATTTAAATTTTTGAAGATTGTAGTTATCAGGAAAGCAAGTGAGATGAAGGGAGTTTTAATATTGGGAAGTGTGAGGAAAGAAACTGTTGGAGTAGAAGTGGTGGTTAAATTTAACCATTTCAACAGTAAATGGGTGGGACCTAGATGTCAATCTAGTAGCACATTTAAATTCTTGTAGTCTGGGCACCAAGGGGAAAAAATCTCGCCAGAACAGTAGTTATAAAAATATTTGTAGAAAAGACAGAGGGAAGCCACATTACATCTGTGAGAAAGTGTCTGAAGTTAAGAATCCAATTCAGGACTTCTCATAATTGTTTATTGCAAACTTTATCAATTCTGTTTGTCAGATAGTTCTGTTATTTTGCATTTAACCATAGCAACTTGCTCTGCCCAAAGAATAGGATTCAAGGAGGCAGATGATGATTGACATTGCATTTAAACTTTTGAAGATTGTAGTTGGCATGAAAGTCTGAAGTGTATTCCAAAAGTGAGAAGTACAGAAGAAACTTAAGAGCTATTGGACAGCATTAGATTAGTATGGGGGTCAGTGTAAAAAAAAAAAAAAAAAGTAAAAAATTCTGTGACACCTGCATGTATGGAAAGTGTTAGTGATTTTTCAGAAAAAAATCCAATCAGTTCTCCCATGAATTTTGATCATGTGTCAAGAAAACCTGTCTACTTAATTATGATGAAATGTGGGTTCATCAATTTAACACTGAAGCTAAAACACAGTCCAAACCATGGAAGTATACTAATTCTCCAATCCCTTAAAAGGTGGCAAAATATTACACTGCATATGAATTTCTAGGCCACAGATACAAAAATCAATCTGAATTTATGCTTCTTTGCTGTTCAAATTGCAGGGAGACATTGAACCCTATAGATAAAGTATGCTCAGCAAAAATATCTTGCAAGACTATGCACAAATATGCAACTCTCATGTCACACCAATGGAAACATGCTCCTGTTGCTATGAAATCTTTCATCATTCCCTCTATTCTTCTGAGCCGACAATCTCTGATTTCTACATCTTCTCTAACATAGTTATATTTGAAAAACATGATCTTCTAGAATGATGATACATACAAGTTGCACTCATGGATACAGTCCCAATGTGCAAAATTCTATGCATGCATCAAATGTTGGGTGAAGTTGTGTAATTCTGGTGGGTGGGGGAGACGTTTGTAGAGAAAGATTAATGTGGCAATTTTTCCATTTCTCCATCTATTGGAAATGAGTCAGGACAAATCTTGAAGTAACACTCTACTTATATAACCCTGATAGAAAGCAACATTTTGTAAGTATCTTTAATGAGTAGGCTGATAGATGTAACTGACAATGTAGTAAAAGTAAACAGGGAGTCTACTCAAACATGGGCATCCACAAATTCTGTTGGTCTATGTACCATCTCCCTTCAGCATGTGGGTGATAATGTCCTATTCTTTTTAGCTTTTAGCAATGTTTTTTTTTACTATCCTTTTCTCTCCCTGTTATGCCATCCATTTACTTAAGTATATTAGATAGGCTCCTTGATGTTATGACTGTCAAATTCTCCAAACCCAATTGTGTCTTAGAACTTTCAACTGTCTCTTTGATTCTAAGTATAAGTATGTTTTTTTTTGTTTTCCTTAAAAGTTCCTTGTTGCCTACATGCTCTATCCATGTTATTCCAGTGTCCTTTTGTAGAACCACATCTATTTTGCCTCTCCTCTTCATTCTGTGAGGAAATTGTGC